GGGGGGGGGTGGGATTGATCTGCTTTTCCTGATCTCTGGTTTTCCTGGGAGCAGCGCTGGCGGAGTCTCCTGGTTTTTCCAGGGGGGAAAAACTGAGCAGAAAAAGCGGTGCCGGTGAGGGGAAACTGAGGCACGGGGAGGGAAACGGGCACAGGGAAGGGAAAAACACGGGAAGGGAAACTGAGGCACGGGGAAGGGAAAAGTGCACAGGGAGGGAAATTGAGGCACAGGGATGAGGGAATATTCCTGCCTTTTTCGGGGCTGCTGTCGGAGCCTCTGCGGCTCCGGCTCTTTTTATGGGATGTGGGTGAAAGGTGCCGGTGTTGAGGAACGAGGGCCGTGACCTTGGCTCTGCTCCTTCCCCTCTCACCCACTTGGAGACCCCCCCAAGACCTTGGCTCTGCTCCCTCTCCCCCCTCGCCCACTTGGAGCCCCCCCAAAAACCCCCCCAGGCCTCGGTTCCCCCGCTGGCCCCTCCCCAGGCTTTTTCCTGGCCAGGCCTCAGTTTCCCTTCGGAGCCAGAGCCGTTCCCGGCTCCGGGCCAAGCAGGTGAAGGGTCACCCTGCTCCGGGCCAGGAATAGGCAGGATGGGCTGGGCTGGGCTGGGGGGGGAGAACTGCAGGGGCAGAGGCAGCCCAGGGCCCCCCCAAAAATTAAGGAGAAGCCCCCAGTCCCCCCTGGAGACCCTAAAATAACCCTTCCCCCCTCCAAAGTGGTGTTTCCCCCCCTGGAAAAGGCCCAGGAGGAGCCCCCAAAATCCCACTCCCACATGTGAGGGGGGGGATGAATGAACCCCACAGTCACCCTGCCCCCCCCTCCTCCAATTCACAGCTCCAATTAAACTAATTAAGGCCATAAACCTTCCCCCTCCCCTCACTGGCCTGCCTGGACTTTGTGCTGGAGCAGCCCTGGAGCAGGATCCACATGGATCTGGGGGAACAGCCAGACCCTCGCCCCCCCCTGCCCTCCATCCCGCCGTGGTTTTGGGGGCCCCCCATTGTTGGGGATCCCTCCATGGTTTGGGGACAAACTCCCTCCCCCTCAAGGCAGCCCGTGGCTCCTGGCACTTCCAAAGGGCCCAGGATAAACTGGGAGCACTGGGGGCACTGGGAGGGGGGCAGCGAGACACCCCAAGAATGGGATGGGGTGGGAATATGGGATGGGAAGGGGGTGGGAGCACGAGCGGATCCGTGGAGGGGGGGACACTGAGGCTGCTGGGGACACACACATATCCCAAGGGATTCCAAAGGATTTGGGGCACCTCCCCACCAGCCAAGGGGGTGGGGGGGCAGATCCCACCCTCTGGAAGCTCTGGGAGTCCTGGAATTGCCACGTACCCCTGGGGGCACCTTCCCTGGGGGGGGGGG